TTGCAAATCCAATAAACAGAAAGTGAAGAAATTCACTACATAACACGATTTTCTACAATTTTTACAACCACCATTCACTCACACATCACAAAACACCGTTTCCACAGTTGACTGACACAAAAGCAAAACTAAAGAACACTAGCGCCACCACTGCCACAACGGCCACGTTCGATGAATGAAACGTAATACCTGAAGTTGGAAATACAGTTTAACCAACATGACAAACAAACTGAATAAATTCGGATACACTCGCCGATTTATTGTACATTGATCGATTCCAATATTCACAGATATCGTCAATAAATTGTCCATTATATGAAAAAAACAAAAAGGCGCGTCTCCGTTTGTATTCAAACATTCGATAAAAACATTTTGTTCATTGTAGCGTTGATATACTATAAAACAACCGGTGCTTGCATGCGTTGTGTCGCGCGTGCACGCATCGACGTGCTTTAAGCACAATGCACATCTGGGCCCTGTGTTACGAAAGTACAATTACAGGTGAAAATCTGCCTGTAGCACACTTGTAGTTACAATTTACAGGCTACAGGCGTTTTACGAAGACACTTGTAAAGCTACCATTGTCAATACTTCACCAAAATCTCGATTACAGGTAAACTTAACAAGTTGAAGTACAACACTATCGATTCATTCAATTCATTCACTCAAATTCAATGCCAATGTGATAGTGATCTGTGTAAATGTGAAAGTTTCTGAAAATAATAACAGAATAAACAAAACATTAAACTGATATGTTTATTTCGATGGAAAAGAAATCTTTTGTATAGCTTACAAAAGCGAATTATTCCTAATTAACATGATATTGAAGTATAAAAACCTTTAGAACCGACTTTAACATTGAGTAAAAGAACTTTACAACAAATAAAGAACCTTCTTTTTAAAAATCGGTTTAAAATGAAGCCAAGCAAGGTTGCTTTTGCGCCGTTCAAGAAGAAAAAGAAACGCCTTCTGTGATGTTTTGATTCTATAAATACTCTAGAATTAATTTTTAAAACCTCCACCAAAAGTGAACTAAAAATTTGCAATTGAAGACGTAATTTTGTTTTATTTAACAATTCAAGAACAATAATTAGACAAGAAACTTATTTTAAGCAATCTTTGACCTCTTGGATAGATGTTGCAGAAATCTTACACTTGTTAGATAATTACCTAGGTCAGATGACCTGTAAAATTGTTCACAAGTTGTAGGTTTTTACAATTGTAGTTTACAATTCTTTAGGAAAACACCTGTAAAAACTTGCTCGATTGTGTTTTTAAAAGCAAAATCTACACTATGGTTTGTCGATGGTAAGCTACAGGTGCCTGTGCCTGTAACTTGTAGAATTGTGGACCGGTAGCTTTGAAAAACGCCTGTAATTGTAATTTTCATAAGTGTTGCCATTTAATTGTTAATTTTGGCGCGATATTGCCACTTTTTTGCCTGTAGAATTGTAGTTGTAGATTCGTTGCATAGGCCACTGCTAGCGTGTTTCAGGGACAAACGTCCCAGAGGCCAGAGGCTCTTTTACCGTCAAGTGATCTTTTCATCCTCATTTCAGGTCATCGGGTTCTTAGTACCATTAGCACAGACTGATCACCGGACGCGTGGCGTGGCGGACATGGGGCGCACTTGCAATCGCGTTATACGCTATATGACGCGATTCGTGTCGTATCGTACGTAGCGTAATCGGATAGTGTAAAGCCACTTAAAAATCATAGACTAAATATGAGAAATGGCAACATTATTTTAAATTTCATATGTCAAAATGTCAAATTGTCAATGTCAATCAGCTGAAAGAAATGCTGAAAGAATTTTCTTTTCCCTAAATTTGCAAAATTAAATGAAAATGTTGTCTCGAAATCTAGTAAAATTCACGAGTCCTGCAAGAAATTTATTTTCTAAGCATTTTTCAACGTGTCCAAAGTGTAGAACTTCTCGCTTGTGCATTTATTCGACTTCGAGGTTAGTGTGTATCTTTTTTGTTTTTCTTCTCTATTTCTTCAAATTAGAGTAATACTGTAACCCAACGCAATTTTTTACAGGTACGATGCATTACCAGCACTAACACAAAATCACCAAGTCAAGTTTTACTCAACCATCAAATCAAAACCTAACTTCAAAGATGTTCGAGGATCGAAAAAGGAAGAAAACAAAATTGTCGGGGCTGCTAAACCCATGGATAGCGCAACGAAACCTTTAAATGTAGAAGAACTGTTAGAGAAACACATAGCTGGTCTATCAACAGATATCTATACCAAACATAGAGTTTACAAGAATGATTTCCAGAGGGTACTAGCAAAAGTGAAGGAGTTCAATTACTCTACTAAGAAACAAGGCTTGCTTCTGTTGCGTTGTTGCACTGATCTTATGCCGGATGAGCCACCAGCGTCGAGGATGGCTATGGCAGAACAGGTGTGGGAAACATTAAAGTAAGTAAAAACACCCATCTCCCCTTAATAATTACTATTCCCATTTGATGGGGTCTGCTTTTCTATTCTTCTCTCTCTGGAAGTATCTTCCTCAGTCATTTTGCAGGAACTCATATCCTTACAGATCATGTCTAACCACCTGGTCTTCGATCCAGGTAGAAGTAAGCAAAACACATGTGAAACTTTTTTATAAGGTTCATGCGGATTATGGCATGAAGCAAATCAGTCAGTAAAAAACTAGTTACTCTTATTTGTTACAATTTTTAATGAATTACCTGAACATGAATACCTACAACTAATTATAAATAAAAACAAAAAAACAAAATAAACTTTTATTTTTTTCTTTATTTTTTTAACACACTACAACTAAAACTACAACAAACTCATTGAAAAAAAAGCTGTAATTCTCGAACTCAAACCACTTATTCCTGAAAGTCCCAAAGTTATTGTTCAGTTACATTTCTAATTTATTCCACAGACAACACACAACCTTGGAAGTTGAACACTACAATGAACTATTGCGAGTGTACATAGCTAACAAGAAGACTGTTCTACCGTCCGTATTCATCCAGAACATGTTACCGTGCAAACCTGAGATGACCACATATGAGTTGCTGCTGAGATGTCTTAGTGAGGTAAGGCAAAAATATCATACCTATGATTAAAGCAGCTGCTGTATGTAGATTGTCCATGGAATTGGTAATTTATTGAAACAAGTATGTAACCTGATTTGTGTAGGTACTTTTAAGAATACTGGTCCAATTTAATATAATTATTACTCATCAACTTGATGAAGAAATTTTCAAAAGAAGAATATTTGTTATTTTAAGATAATCACTCCTGTTCCATGTTTAACTCCAGCGACACTCAATTGCCACTGTGATTTTCTAAACTAAAAACTGTTAGCAGAATACAAATCTCTCAAAACAGTCCAACTGGCTAAAAACAATTTTAATTTAGCAGACTTCGACTTTGACCACTGTTGGACATAGAAAACAGTGGATCTTTGATTACAACTGATCTCATTGCGAAGCTAATTAATATTGCCTTTTTTCACAGGCTGGTGACTTGGACCATGCAACAGAGGTTGTAGCAAACATCAAGTCAATGAATCTGCCAGCTACTGAAAGCATGTTTAACTCACTCATCATTTGCCAAGGGAAGGCTGGGTAAGTCAAATAGGTTGGTGTATTTTCAGGAAGATACCAATTCCTGTTTATTTTACTTTTCTTTTGACTGTACTATGGGCTTGTAGGTAAAAGTATGAGATAGTAAACTGGAGAACTTATTGGCGCTACTCTCGGGTGTGCTTTTTTCTCTTGATTGGTCAAAAATGGTTGCAGTAACGTAAATTAGGCACAATTGCGCCTGCTGCTATTTGCAATAATCTTTGAGTTTTCCTAACCATTGAAATAGTTTATGAGCTCTAGGCTTGTACAAATCAAAAAGGCAAAGAAAATTGTTAACTGCATATACCCCAAGGTATATCCTCCATAGCTGTTCGGGCAGTTTGATTCACGTTTTTATTTGTTATACCTAATGAATGGAAGTAAATGTAATTTGAGTTCTTGACTCTATATAATAGTTCCTTCTTTGTTTCATTATTTGGTCCATTTTTCTACACAGGAACCTGCAAAACATCCAAGAGGTTTTGACCATGATGCAATCACTGAAATTGGAGCGTACAGCTGAAACTCACGCTTCAATAGCTAGAGCTCTAATTTGCAATAAACAACCCGAGAAAGCTATAGACGAGTTGACCCTTGCATTGCAAAAAAGCATAAAGTTTGATGAGAAACAAATCATGGACATTGTCAAGACTTTGGCTGAATATCGCATGTATGACTTTGTGCCGAAAGTAAGTGTATTCACTTTTCTTTTTACCTGACTGCCTAGGAGGGTTATTTTATAGACTGTCCCAAAATAAATGAAAAACAATATATAGCTTGATGTTCTACTATAACTTTTGTTTTTTATACCATCCTAAGTAACTTATAAAATTCGAGTTAATTAAAGTACCTAGATTATTGCTCTGATTTTGGTAACACATTTCCGTAGCTATTTCCTAATATTTCTGTCACTTTCTTAAGTAAGCAAAGGAAAAAAGACAGGAAATCTGTACTATCATTTGAATTTAATGTGATCATTGGTATAAATTCTAAGATTAAGGAAGTGTCCGGATTAGGACAACATACAATTTAGACTATGTATGTTTTCTGTCATAATTAAAGCCATTTATTTGCATTTCTCCACCTCAGAAAGTAAACAAAAACATTATTTTCACAGGTCCTGCGATTTCTCCCAGTAGAAACATTGGAATCCCCCTCAATATCTCCCTACATGCAAGTGGTGGCCACTCAACTAGTATTTCAGAACCAAGCGATGACCGCATTGGAAATCTACAACGCACTGCCTTTACCAGCATTCGGGCCTAAAGATGATCAGGGCTTGCATGGCAGGAGTCTCGTCAGGGATTGCGTTAAAGCAAATTTGGTAAGCTTAGGTATCTTATATTTTTTTAAGTACCCATTTTCAGATAAATAGAAATAAACAATTTTTATAATTCTTTATGGACGGCCGGGACTTGATCCCGGGACTGTGAGGTACTATCCCACTGCTCTTACGAATGAGCTACCGGCGCCTGGCCCATCCCAACAAATTTTTCAACCTCTTGCTACTCGTCTCGTTTTCTTATTTTCATTTATGAAAATATTATAGCACAGTGAGTGCATTGAAGTCCCAATACATCCAAGTTCTTTTTCCGTCCTTATGTTTCGTTGAGAAAGTTATTCCTTTGTCTTACATCCTGTATATTTTTAGCCATCAAGCCTGATCGGCCTGATAACTCAGAACCTCATGGCGTCAGGTCGCAACCCGATAGCTTTACAAAACGCCGCCGAAGCTGCTCTACAAACGGGCAAAGCGCCTTTAGCTGTTGACATGTTTCGGCGAATGAAGCAAGTGGGCATGCCTATTCGCAGCCACTACTTCTGGCCTATACTGCTGCAGTCTGCGAAGTCTTATGGGGAAAAAGGTAAGGAATTTTCATTATATTACAATAAAAACTGGGTTTAGCTGAGTATTTATTGCTAATATTTTTTTTGGTAATCCTGCCTGTGGTGGAAAATTTTACAAGTTTTCTAAAATTGTTTACCTAACACGAGTAGTGTTTTAAAAATTTGGTATTCAATTACTAATATTACCTACTATCTAGCTACCATGAGTATAGGAGAGATATTTGTTGACATGTTTCGACGAATGAAGCAAGTGGGCATGCCTATTCGCAGCCACTACTTCTGGCCTATACTGCTGCAGTCAGCGAAGTCTTATGGGGAGAAAGGTAAGAAATTATAAACGATTATATGTTTTTAGTAGGTGATAGCTTTGCAAAACGCAGCCGAAGCTGCTCTACAAACGGGCAAAGCGCCTTTAGCTGTTGACATGTTTCGGCGAATGAAGCAAGTGGGCATGCCAATACGAAGCCACTACTTCTGGCCTATCCTTCTGCAGTCAGCGAAGTCTTATGGCGAAAAAGGTAAGAAATTCCACAGGAAAAGATTTTAGGGTGTTTAGCTGAACATTTATAACTATCATGCTACCATGAGCATATGAAAGATATTTACTGACATGCTTCGGCGAATGAAGCAAGTGGGCATGCCTATACGAAGCCACTACTTCTGGCTTATACTGCTGCAGTCTGCGAAGTCTTATGGGGAGAAAGGTCAGAATTTTCACATTATGAATAGTCATTTAGTAGGTTATAGCTTTACAAAACGCAGCCGAAGCTGCTCTACAAACTGGCAAAGCGCCTTTAGCTGTTGACATGTTTCGACGAATGAAGCAAGTGGGCATGCCAATACGTAGTCACTACTTCTGGCCCATTCTGCTGCAGTCGGCGAAGTCGTATGGGGAAAAAGTTTAGAAATTCCACAGGAAAAGTTTTTAGTGTGTTTAGCTGAGCGTTTATAGCTACCATACTACCATAAGCATAGGAGAGATATTTGTACCCCCGTGTTGTAGACATGTTTCGACGAATGAAGCGAATGCGCGTACCACTACTCCTGACCTATACAGCTGCAGTCGGCAAAATCTTATGGGGAGAAAGGTAAGGAATTTAACATTATATAAGGTTACATTAAATTAAGTACAAATCTCTTAAGGGTGTAATCTACTTAAACTGAACAACTTTTGTTTGAAACGTTTCTTAGAAAAATGAAAATAAAAATTTGGACCTCCCATACAAAAATGTTGAAAAGGTGTGTCACTTAGTATGGGAGGTACAAATTTTATTTTCATATTTCGAAGAAAAGTTTTAAACCAAAATTGTTCAGTTTTGTGAGTAGATTACACCCTCAAGAGATTTGTACTTAAATAAATGTAACCGTATATAAAAACAACTGGGATATGTCAAGTATTTATAACTATCATGCTACCATATCATAAGCATATGAAAAATATTTACTGACATGTTTCGACTAATGAAGCAAATGGGCATGCCAATTTGGCCTATTTTATGGCCAAAAAGTGAGGAGTTTCACATTATAAAAAAGTTTTTCAGTAGAATTTCATCATCATTATCCATCACATCAGTTTATAGCAGTCAACTGCTTAACATAGGCCTCTCCCAGGGAGCGCCACTTCACAAGACCTCCCTTTATTTGCCATCCAGTCTGCACCAGCCAATATCTTTAATTCATCATCGGTCCACTCGAGAAGCCGCTTACCTACATTACCGTCCATTTGATTATTATATGAAATAACCATCATGCCACCACGAGCACATACATATCTATATGATATAATAAATGACACAGTTATTTCGTCATGTTGTGCAATCAACTTTCTATTTTAAACGTGCCCTCGATATAGAGTGGTACACAATTTCGTCGTGACGGTTGTAAGCAGTCGTGGCCGAGTGGTTAAGGCGTCTGACTAGAAATCAGATTCCCTCTGGGAGCGTAGGTTCGAGTCCTACCGACTGCGAATTTTTTTGTCAATTATAATTTTAATTTTGCTTATGCTCTAGTGACTATAATTATCGGTAAATTGTTCGTGGACACGATAAGCCGATGCTCGAAGCTATACACTATTATTTAGATTTTTTTATTGTCTTATCTAAACAAATACCTCTTCTAATTGATGCCTGTTGTATAAACAATGTGATAATCAGAGCTACATGTTTTAATTCGGATTTTTAAACTTTTATCGCATCTATCTTGCATAAACTGTGCTTGTTTTATTATAATGAATAAGTGATAGTTGTGCAACATCAACTGGACTAATTGGTTTCGCAGGCTATTTGGTATTGGAAACGCGGTTGTCCGTTCCCTGGTTTATCACTTAGCCGGTTTTTACTATACTCACGATTAGAATTGGGATGATGCTATTTAAGCCGGCATCACACGGCATTAACCAAACAAAAACCCTTTCTTTCCAGGCGTAATAAACACCCTACAAACGATGGTAGAAATGGAGGTATCCCCCGACTACGACACTATGATGCAATACGTGTTACCCCATGTCAGTTTTACATCACCACAGAATCTGATCAAGAAATTCATGGAAGCCGGTCTTACGGCTACAATGGTGCTGACGCCGATAATGGTGACTTTGCTGAAGACTGGGCAAGTAAGGGCGGCTAGTGAAATTTGTAAGTATATTGTTTCATACTTTTACGTAGGAGTAAATGCGACAGAACGAATGGCGTAAATATGACACTTGCTTTTCACAATAAAAAAATACGTCTATAGTAGGCGCACGAGTTCATTACCATCCTAAAGTATACGCATCCTTATCGGACTTGCCAGTATCTCGGAGTGAGCGACCAAGAGGCGCATACTTCAAAATAGTAATTTACTCGCGCGCCTACTGTACTCTCTAATTTTACCGATCGACTTTGAACACATGATAGCGCAGTGGTTAGAATTCCGCCATTTTACGTCAGGAGTCGTGTGTTCGATTCACGTTCGTAAGAAATTGATTTCTATATTGGCCAAACTTAATATGAGACTTTGACTACATCGTATAGCACAATCTACAAGTATGTCTTTAAAGTAGTCTTAACTCGATGAGCAATTTCTAAATAATAGATTCTACTCCAAAACTTTCCGGTTTCACAAAACTGTTCAGTTAGGGTGTTCTCTATTATTCTACAAAATCAAAATGTTCTTTTCACAGGCGAATTATTCAAAGGCAAGATCGACGGCGAAAAGTTAGTAAAACCTTTAGTAAATGGTTACTTAATCAGTATGGACCCAGTCTGTACTGTTCATATACTAGACGATATGTCTCTACGAGCTATGGACAAGAACAAGGACTGGGTAGGAAGAGTATTGTGTGAATATCTCGGCGGGAAAAATGTTAAGAGCAACCTCAATGACTTCCTGTTTCTGCTTAGGGTAAGTTTATTATTTTATTTGTAATTTATTTTATAATTGAATGCATTTTGGAATATATTGATCTTAACACAACCATGTCAGAGGCCTGTAAAGGCGGTTAAAAAAACTCTGTCACCAGGGTTTATCGGGTCGTTAGATGACTTGGTGTCCCACTCGAAGAAGAAGAAGACAAGATAAGACGAACAAGAATATCGACTGTAACAGTTATATTTTGTAAAAGAAGAACCTATCAAAGACATGCAATAAAATAATAACATGTCGTCGTTTTCTCAATTTGGGTAAAATGAAATATGACTGTGCTCATCTTATCATGATTGTCAATAAATTCAATTTAAAAACCATGTCCACTGTTCGACCGAAAAGACTTATAGAGCGCGAGTTTTTCGCCTAGTTGGAGCTATTTAATTGAATATTCGCATGCAAATTTTGCTGGTATCATAAATTTTATTATTCAAATCATTAATGAATTAACACTATCCTAATCAATTCACACAAACCCTAGACTAGACACTAATGAATTCGAGTAGTAGAAAGTGAGATACGAGTGGTTAAACCAGTCGTGGACTTCCATGCACGATGTCACAAATAACATTTTCTGAAATATTGATCTCCTGTACTCGGTACTTACGAAATTCATTTTTACAGGAAATGAGGAAACAAAATGTGAAAATATCTCCAGTGGCGGCAGACGTCTGCCTCAACAGATTACCTGACAACCTCCCTCCGGCCAAACTGTCAGAATTGAAGGAGCTGATCACAAAAATAACCAGCGATCAACTTGTAGACGTCGGTGAAATGATGACACAGAGTATGCCTCATCCTGTAAGTAGCAATTTATAATTCCTTTATTACTAAAATATCTATGAAAGTAGTAAAAACGTTTATAAATACTACTGGACAATCTCCCAGAACTGAAGGAACTGATCACGAAAATAACCAGCGATCAACTTGTAGACGTCGGCGAGATGATGACCCAGAGTATGCCTCATCCCGTAAGTAACACATTACGATTAATCTTTTACTTAAAATATCTATAAAAGTAGTAAAAACATTCATAAAATACTGCCGGACAACCTCCTTCCGGCTAAACTGTCAGAACTGAAGGAGCTGATCACGAAAATAACCAGCGATCAACTTGTAGACGTCGGCGAAATGATGACAGAGTATGCCTCATCCCGTAAGTAGCATTTTGCAATTCCTTTCATCATCTACCAGAATATATATAGGGTGAAATTTTACTAGT